CCTTCATCTCTTCCCAGGATCACTGCACTATCCTCCCACTTGTCACCACCCTTGGAACTGGGAGTGCTGCTATATTTATTTACTTAAGATTCCCGCACTTATGTTTGCAGTAGTAACACTGGTCAATATGTTTTCTATCTTGTATAATGCTTTAGTTTTTCTTTTAGGAATAAACTTCCCTCTTGAGATAAATTATCTTCTTAGCTATTGAAATACATACTTTATATAATGTAGAAATTTTCTCCTTTTTCACTTTTGGAGGAATCACCCAATAAAAACTTTTAGGCATCATGCATTTTAAGGGGACTTTTACCAACTTTTCAGTTTTTTTCACTGGTTAACAAGACACTTAGTTTTCTTAACTCTTCTTCAATAAACTTTAATAATTTATAATTTCCTTAATATTGGCCATTAAATCTAAATTTTCAAATGCATGAGTATATATTAATATGATTCCCTATTAAATTATTAATAATCTCCTTTTTGCCTATAGTTATCTTCCCTTTCTCATCCCTTAATGTTTGCTAGTTTCTTATTTCTCGAATAGATTGCCAAAACCATCTACTTCATTGATCTGTTTAAGAAAATATCTTTTGCATTATTAATTAAGCCTATATTTTAAATTGTGGGCCATTAATTTCTTCTCATTAATTCCCTCTGCTTTTAAAAATTTTGTTTTTGGTATTCCAAAACTGAATAAAGGACTATGCATTTTCGTCCTCTTTTGACTGCACACCTTAGGTTTGGTAGATTTTATTCCCATTTTACATTTGAGGTTTTTAAAGGCTATTTTAAAAGGTCACCCAGATAAAGACTGGCAAAGAACAAAATCAAGTCTGTGTGATTTACAATGTACCAGAGAAGTTCTTTTGAATATGTCACACATAAAACATAGATGTAATTCACACAAAAGGAAACAAAGTTAACAAGGAGCAATATGTTTATTTGCTTTAAATAAAAATAGTAAATCAATGTCATGTCATTGACACATGAGAAGAGATATGACTGCTAATTAAATTGGGTTAAAATGAAATCTTAACTGGAACAATAATTTGATAAACCAACTTAGGAACTTGTAGTGTGTGTTATAAAATATGTATGTCTTTTCACCAAGTAATCTCACATCTTAGCATTCTTCTTCAGGACATATTTCATAAGACTAAGACTTCAAAATGAAAATTAGACTACACTGAAACATATTGATAACATTCTGAGTGCCAAAGACAGTACCCAAGGATTCTCCTCTGTCCATGGAATTTTCCAGGCAAGAACACTGGAGTGGGTTGCCATTTCCTTCTCCAGGGGATCTTGCTGACCCAGGATTGAGCTTGCATCGCTTGCACTGCAGGCGGATTCTTTACCACTGAGCCACCACCCCAAGAATTCGAGAGCTGGTTAAATTTGTTATATTCTAGCACTTAGCACCCAAATACTCTTGATGTTTTCTCTTCCTTTTCTTGTCAGAAATCTTTTTGATTTATAAGCTGGAGCCTTACATCAAGAACAATAATAGTAAAAGAAAAGACTAATTATACTGACTAAAGGCTCTGACTGACACCCAGCCCTGGAGGCCCCTGCCCCGACGGCTGTGAGCAGGGCTCTCCCCCTCCTCTCTCAGTCCTGGCCCGCGGGACTGCATTCTATGGCGTGGGCCTCCCTGCCCCGGGGCCTCTGCACTTGCTGCGGCTTCTGCCACAGGGCACTTCCCCCAGCTCTTAGCATGCCGCCTTCCTCCACCCCCCGTAACGTCTTCCCAGCCACCTGGAAGGCATCGCTGGCTGAACACCCACACCCCCAGCCCCACGTCTTCTTCGCTGGCCTTGTCTCTACAGTCGGCCGCTCCCAATCCACCATCACTCTCTACTGGCTCATTCTGCTTTCTGTGTATTTACTTATTCTGTGTACTTATCATTTAAAAGTTTTTTCAACTGTCTCCACCACCCTCTCCCATACTATGAGAACTGCGATGCTATTTTGCACTATATTCTTAGAACCTAGAGCAATGCCTGGCACATAAATGGTCACTGAGTGTTTGTCTACGGAATAGAAGTCGGGAGGAGGATGGAGGCGGGGAGGGAAGGAGCAAGAGAGGAAGAAAGAGGAGGAGAAAGGACCGAAGTCTTACTGATCTGACTTTACTTCGTGTCAAAAATATCTTAGTGTACCAAAAGATCAATAACCATAAATGCCTTGGAGTTTCTTTGAAAAGCTGAATTCTCCCTAAATTCTATTACAGACACGGAACTGACAAGAGCTACCTGGCCTACCCTGTCTTACTGGAGTCAAGCCACAGTTGGTCTACAATGTTGTGCCAAAGCTGCCACCTTCTAAAAATATATTGACAATACAGTAGGCTTTGTCAGGACGTCAACCCAGACCCTAAGGAGACGTATGGGAAAAACTTGAGTGAGTGTGTTTCCCTTGGAAAGACAGAACGTATCCCCTCTATTTGAGGAATTCTCATGTGGAGCAGCCTCTACAAACACAGCCTTTTATGAGTTGCTGCAACAGTCAAACAATGCTGGCAGACAGCAGTCAAGGAGAGGCTATTTGGCTCCCAGTAAGAAAGTATCTCCCAACAATCAGAACTGCCTGGAGGGTAAGAATCTGCCTCCCTGAAGAGCAAGCTCTCAACAATGGATGTGCCTGTGACCAGTCACCACCGACATAAAGGCTGCACTTGTTGTTGTTCAGTCTAAGTCGTGTCTGACTCTTTGCAACCCTGAGGACTGCAGCACTCCAGCCTTTCCTGTCCTTCACTATCTCCTAGAAATGTAAGTTGAGAAGTGCTAAATACATGAACTGATGACCTAGAAGAGTATCAGTTGCCAGAATCTTTAAGTTGCTTTTGTTGTTCTAAATATACTCCAGAACTTGGTTAGTTTTGATATTGGTTGGATGGCATCATCGATTTGATGGACATGAGTTTGAGCAAGCTCTGGGAGTTGGTGATGGATAGGGAAGCCTGGCGTTCTGTAGTCCATGGGGTCAGACACGACTGAGCGACTGAACTGAACTGAGAAATACAAAGCGCACCAATATTAAACAGTGAAGAAAAAGAAAATCTGAAGAGACTCATAACTAGTAGGAGACTGAGTCAAAAGAAAAATAACTTGACCAAGAAGAGCCCTGGATCTGATGGCTTCACTAGTGAATTCTACCAGACATTTTGTTGTTCACTGTTCAGTCACTAAGTGATGTCCAACTCTCTGTGACCCCATGGACTGCAGCACACCAGGCTTCCCTGTCCTTCACTATCTCCCAGAGTCTGCTCAAACTCATGTCCATTGAGTCCGTGATGCCATCCAACCATCTCAGCCTCTGTCGTCCCCTTCTCCTCCCGCCTTCAGTCTTTCCCAGCATCAGGGTCTTTTCTGGTCAGTCACTTCTTCGCATCAGGTGGCCAAAGCTTCAGCTTCAGCATCAGTCCTTCCAATGGATATTCAGGACTGATTTCCTTTAGGATTGATTGACTAGTTTGATCTCCAAGATTGCACTAGGTATTTCTAAGTTTCACTTTAAGTTAAAACATTGGTATGCCATTTTATAAAGCAAATTCTGAATATCAGAACCGACTGAGATCTGGAGTACATTCAGGGAAAAAAAAAAAAACTTAAAGATCCTGGCAACCGATATTCTAGATCATCAGCTCATGTATTTAGCATTTCTCAGCTGGAGATGCAGTTCTCTAAATCTGGTATAAAATATGAGAATCTGATAAAATAATAGCATCTTATAAAATAATAACAAAGAAAAAAAGCACTACATATAGTCGACCATCACTTCTAATGGCCTTAAAGACAGCATGCAACGTTGTCTGCATCTCCTCTCTGCTCACCCAACAGAAGGCATGGTTATAAGACGTACGCAGCCATCTGCACCCACGATGCCTGGTGGCGGTATTTTGCAAAATTAAACTATGCAAAGATGCATTCAACCAAAAGGACTCTTCTTTGTTCACACAGCTATCTTCCCCAAATAGAGCCTGGCAAGAATAACTGGAAGCGTGGACTGCAGTAACAAATTCATTGATGACAGACACTGTGGTACAAAAGGTTTAAACTGGGGGACACTGGAGGCGACGGAAGGTACCCCACTAAACGGGCGAGCCGAGTTAGTGCAGCAACATCAGCAGGGCCGCAGAAGGACCGCTGGCCACTCTGCCGCCAACAGAACAGGAGGGAAGGCATACAGGCGGGTTGGAATCACCTAATATGTGAATCTGATAAACAGTACTTCAGTTTCTATCATATGACAGCATGATCGCTTACACAAAGCTGCATCAGGTATGATTCCGACTAATTATTTTCAACACTGATTCCACATTTTAAGATCTTCATCTGTCAACAGGATATAGAATTGAGATCCATTTTGTGCGCAATCACAGAATTTTCATTTTGTAACAGCTCTTGATACCATACCCCATAAGCTCTTAAATGTGCTAAGTCTCTTAAAGCATTTCTTGTAGGTGTGAAAACAGTGTATTTAACATTTCTGAAAGTACTGAGGAAAGTCACGTCCTCGATCCAGGCGGAGTCACCTTTTGCTCTCCCAGAACGAAGGTGCATGAACTCACAGGCAGTGTCAGCCAGGTAGCCCGAAGCCAGTTAGCAGGGGGCCACGGGTGAGCGGTGTGAGCAACTATCACCCCTGGGAACTCCGTGGAGGCGCTGCCTCATCTTACAGTGTTTCAGGAGGAACCAGAAATCCAGTCTTCACATGCACTCGCTCAGTCTCTGAACGTCGGCAGCAGAAAACTCCTCGAGCACGTGCAGGCCTCACGGAGCGCATCTGCTCGCTGTGATCAGTTTGAGCTGTCTGCTTTTACACCTCTCTCCCCGCTGGCTTCACCCCACGCTCACGAGTGACACTTTGGGAGAGGGCACTCAGTTTTTCTAATTATTTTTCCAACACTTTAACATGTTAGAGCACTGACAAAATATGCAAAAAGAATGTACTTTCTATATTGTGGTAAAAAAAATTATATTTATATTACTTACCCTGCTGACTTCCTTAGGAGCTGATTCATCTGGGGAATGAAGAAGGAAGGGAGGGAAAAAAAATAACGTTAGAAGCTCTGGGTAGTTTCTGAAAAATATAGAACATATCATTCACTCTCTGTAAACCAGAAGGCTATTTGCAATGTTTCCTCTTGTGATATCTAAGAATTCAGTTTTAAAACTGTAAGGTAAAAAACATAGTATATTTAGAGCTAGATGTATGTATTAATTTTGGAGGGAAATGAAATAACACAACAGTTTGCTGATCATTTTCAAGATTACCTTTTTAGAGGTTCTCAAATATTAGTGCCTGAAAATATGGCTACACGGTATTTTATCCAGTACATACACCTAGAAAAGGGATTGTAATATTTGCAATATTCTAAATGACACAATCCACACGAATGTCTCAAAAGGCCATTAACACTTGTGCTGTCAGGGTTGGGGCCAGCATTTCGCGTTTGCTGAAATGAGACCTGTGCCTGTGTGGCCTGGCGAAGGCCCGGACCACTCCCACTAATGGGCTGCTCCGCACCCCGGACCCAGGAGGCGGCAGGTGTGTCTCTACCAGCGCGGCAGCACTGCTTTCTGGTTGATTAGGACTGGCAGGTTGCCCTCGTCCAGGTGAGGCCCTCTAACGGGCCCTCCCTGCGAGGCTGGCTACGTGGCAAGACTACGCCTGTGTAACCAACAGGGTATGAGACACAAACCGGCCAAGACGCCATGTTAGGTCCGCCGGCTGTGAGCAGCCCGTGCCCGGGACCTGGTTCTGACCCAGAGAAAATGTGTTCATGTGGCCCTCCCAGAGGCCGGGGGTCTGGAGACCCCTCTCCACACCCCTCACTGGGAGGCAGCCTTTAGTTTAAGGTTGCTGCCTTCTCGTGCCTTGTTTAGCGAGGAAACCCTGTCTTACTACTGCCATCAGCACACACTCACCACACCAAGTTTCCAACGTGTTCTGTGTTACACCAATCACAGCCTCATCCACCTTAACACTGACAAAGGCGTGTCCCACGGGTCCAGTCAGGGCACTGATACTTCTTTCTCCTTTGACATTATTATGAACTAAACCACTGAGTCCTGGCGTTTCCTCTTTTCTTCTAACCTTTTTCAGATTTACAGCTTACCACCCGTTTCCACAAATAATATTAAGTCTAGTCCCAAAGCACATTATCAACCAGTAGCCTCTAAGCTGATCCCTGAATTCAGTATCTGCCCTGGCAATCATGTATACACACACACACAAACATTCACCCACCCAGTTTATNAGCGACTTCACTTTCACTCTTCACTTTCATGCTATGGAGAAGGAAATGGCAACCCACTCCAGTATTCTTGCCTGGAGAATCCCATGAACAGAAGAGCCTGGCAGGCTACAGTCCATAGGGTAGCAAAGAGTCAGACACAACTGAAGCGACTTAGCATGCACGCAGACTTCAAAACTTGTTGCATATTGCCTTTACCTGGGGACTTTTTCAAAATTAGCAAGCTTGGAACTATCAGATAGTAGCTGCTCGGTAAACAGTAGCTATTCTTTGTATTACTATTTAACACATATTTCTTATTTATTTTTCTGATATTTGTTCCATAATGATTCAAATATTGCATCTGATTTCCCTTAGAATGTAACCATGTTATAGGAAAAACATGGACTTTATCTTATATACTGAAGTCACTTGATAAAAATATCATTGATTCCTTAACTCCTAATCTCTTATTCTTTTCTAAACTTCTCTGAAGATGGAACTATTTGATTCAATCATCACAGCAAATTTATTAACAGGTTATAAAGTTGCAGAGACTGATATGTTTCTAACTCTTTTGGATTTTTATTGAAGAAGTTCAGTAAACGGGGGTTGGAAAGTGAAGGCTGATTAACGCAGGGGCAACAGCAGGCGGCCGTCGTGTGAACAAGCTGACTGCAGCCCTAAGGGGAGCGTCCGGGCTGCGACCCTCTGGGACCGTCCGCTGTCCAATCATCACCGCGACTCGAACGTTAGCTCAAGGGAAGAAGGGCTCGAATGTCCAGACATCTGTCCATAAATGACCCCTTCGCTTTTTCCTTCAGTTTTGCAGAGTGCTTCTCCAACTCGAGCGTTGAAGATACTCTGCTGATAAGTATTTATACAAACCAACTCCTGTTCTGGTTTGATGGACAGTTTAAAGTATTTGAAAGAAAAATGCTGTCTATATCTTAACATCTGGCTTTTCACCTCTTTTTCGTACAGATTTAGGACTGTATCTTCTAGCCCTTCTTCCGACTCGGAAGCCAAACACTTTCTGCTAAGTGAATGTCAAGTCCATTACAATGAGGGAATTCAGCAGTTCAGCTGAGGGGACTAATGAACCCAGTTAGGATAAGGGAAGCTGGCCTCCTGCTTCCTGTATTCCGAAGTTCCATGGAGCTCCCTTGCCCAGGCAAAGGGCCGGCGCCTGAAGACCCTGACGGGGTGACTGCTGCGGGGGAGCGGCCGGAGGGGGCGCCCCAGAGGCGGCTCGGCCAGAGGCTCCGCGCGGGGCTCGGAAGCCCGGCGGCCGCTCACCTGCTGTCAACCTGGGCAAGACGTCTGACTTCCTTTGACGGCCTCTAAGTCTGGAGTGGAGCAACGTCCTAGCCACATAATTTGACACTGAAAAGTGATTTTTCCCACAAGAACAGTTGTAAAGTAGCAGAGCCCCTGACTTGCGGACTTCCCTGGTGGGCCCTGGCGGCCGACGCCGTGGCCCTGGGTGGGGATGGAGACCCACAGCGAAGGCGCAATGCCGCCAACCAACAAACATAAACAGGAACAGAAGAGCAGCGGCCCCAGGTGTCTGTCCTTCCGTGCACGGGGAGGGAGTGACGGTGGGCCAGGCGACTGGGAGCCGGGAAAGGGCAGGCGAAGCTTCACTCCCAGCCCACGGCTCACCTAGGGCTTGGCGCCCAAGTCTGAACAGGCCGCCGGCCAGTGAGGCGCCCCGAGACCCCGACCTGGAACGCCCTACGGACCCACAACTCCGGACGGCTCTCTACACTGCCGGCACACACTCACGGCCCAGCGGTCCGGGCCGCGTTTCACACGGCTCAGGAAAGACGCTCACTTACACATGGAAGGTTAAGCAGTCACGGAAAAGAAGGAAACGGACGTGGAGGCCAGATGCTGAGTCCTTCGTGACCATCAAGTGAGCGAACAAAACGTTCACAGACACTTAATTTTTTAATTTTAATTTTAATTTTTTAATTAAGCAGACACTTAATTTTTATGTGGCACTGGGGTCCTGCAAACATTTGTTTACTCAACAAAGGTGCACTGCGGGTCCATTATGTGCCGGGCATTTACCCTTGTTCCTAAGGAGCTTAAATTCTAATGGGATGAATAAACAAGAAAAATTAAACAGTTTCAGAAAGGGAGTATTGATGCTCGTTAAAGAGAAATGTTGTTTAAAGAAAAGAAGAAACCATCTTCAATCTAAATATCATTTTGACGATTTCTTAGAACCTTAGGAAAAATAGCCCACGCAGCAAAAAATTTCCTGGAAAATATCCCAGTAAGTACACCTTCCAGCGAGTACTTATTTTTGAGTTAAGTGCTCATTGGAAAAGACCCAGATGCTGATTGAGGGCAGGACGAGAAGGGGACAACAGAGGATGAGATGGCTGGATGGCATCACTGACTCGATGGACGTGAGTTTGGGTGAACGCCGGGAGAGAAAGGAGGACAGGGAAACCTGGCGTCCTGTACTCCGTGGGGTCGCAAAGAGTCGGATGCGACTTAGCAAGTGAACAACAATAGCACCAAAAGTACAGAATAAATGAAATCAATATCTTGTATAACAGACTTGAAGCCACAGTTACACTGAATATAAAATTTAAACAACTTTATATATAGGTCAAAGAATCCATCCATATGTGACATCATGAGCTTTTCTAATCTACCAGAAAATATTTTCATAAAATGCTGATAATAGTTAAAAATGAGTAAACAAATCAATGAACACTTCAAAATATAAACCCTCACAACCATACATTCAAGGCTGTAGAAATGGAAACACAGATATTAATATAAAAATAACTTGGAGGTTTGAAGCCAAAATGGCAACTAATATGATAATTTTCTTATCATCAACTTAGAAGGAAAATGTAATGTTCGCTAATGTTACAGGAAGAAGAAAAAATGACAAAAGATTTTGATAGCTGGTTTTATTTTAATACTGTGAGAAGATAAAACATTAAATCCTGATATTTGTAGACAAGTACATGAAATATATAAAAAAAAAATCTCCCCAGTATTTTATGAGGAAATGAAAAAAAAATTATTTCCTGTTAGATTACTATTCTTTTTTATTCCATTGTTATCCTCCATGAGTGAATGAATGGCTAGAAGCACAATCATTTCTCTTAATCTTCTAGCCATCTTCCATCATTAAATCTTTAGGCAAAGAAACTGATTATAGATCAGTAGACTAAACAATGCTTTTAACAAAAGAAACCTCACCTTTCCCCTCAACAGGCCTAGTGGTCATCTGTAAATCTACAACTTAAAATGTAGATCTGTGAGGAAATTTAGCTCACATTTTCTCTAAGAAATGTTTGTAAAAATATGGTCAGTGTGTTTAAATGTAGCTACTCTAAGACATATGTAGTGATACTGATTTTTAATTAGCAGCTTTACTAAAGCCTGATTTACATGCCATAAAGTTAACCCATGATAAGTATACAAGTCAGTGATTCCAGCTGATTTACAGAGGTGTAACGGTCTCTCACCGGTCCAGTTTAGACACTCCCCCCCAAGTCCCCTTATGCCCCTTTACATTTAATCCCTGTCCCCGCCACAGCCCATCACATCAGGGATGTCTCTGTTCTCACAGACTCACCTTTTCTGGGCATTTCAAATAACTGGAATCGCACAATACAGAACTAGTTGTGTCTGGCTTCTTCCACATAGCACAATATTTTGAGGTTCATCCATGTTAGAACATGTATCAATATTTCTTGTTAGCAAATAGTATTCCTATTATATAGGTATATCACATTTATTTTTAGCCATTT